GGGAGCAGAAACCCTCATCTTTCTCCCAAAGAACAACTGATAAGTTTTGATAGTTTCGAATTGCTGACCTTGAGGTTAGCAGCCCGACTCATATATATAGTTGTTTTTAAGTGTCGTTGAGTCAGTTCCAACTCATAGTGACCCTGTATTGGGTTTCCAAGGAGCAGCTGGTGAGTTTGAACCACTGACCTGGCAGTTCAAACTGACCTTATTACGGTCAAGTGCTTAGCCTACAGCTGCACATACCAAAAAAATAAATAAATAAACAAACCCAGTAGGATTGAAAGCAGGGTATGTTTTAAAGATATCAAGGATGATAACAAGGTTTTAGACCTAAGCACTTGGTTGAATGACATACCATTGGGGGAAAAGAATTGGCAGCAGGTTTTGGTGGTTTGTTGTTTTGATGTTAAAGGCCATAGAATCAGTCCTGACTCATAATAACCCTGTATGGGATTTCCAAGGAGTGGCTGGTATATTTAAACCACTGACCTGTTGGTTAGCAGTCCAGTGCTTATCATACAGTGTTGTGCCAGGACCCCAAAGTTGGTGGTGGTTGCTAAGTCTTGTCAAGTCTGTTCCTACTCATAGCAACCCAGTATAGTGTTTTCCAGGAGTGGCTAGTGGGTTCAAACTGCCAATCTTGTGGTTAGCAGTCCAGTGCTTATCCTACAGCAATCCCTTAGGCCTCCAAAAAGAAGTATGTTGTTGTTGTTACATGTCGTTGAGTCAGTTCTGACTGGTAGAAACCTTATATAGGGTTGTTTTTTTTTTTCTAAGTATGAAACCCTATATAATGAGTTTGAATTGCCAACCTTATGGTTGGCATATCAGTATGACTGGTAGGTTGAACTGTTGACCTTATGATTAGCAATCCAGTAAAGGGCTCTGTTTTGATTATGTTGGTGTTGTAGGATAAGTACTGGATAGCTAACTGCACGGTTGGTGGTTCAAACTCACCAGATCTCCTCGGAAACCCTATACAGGGCTGCTATGAGTAGGAACTGACTTGACTGATGGCACTTAACAATAACAATATCAAAAAGTCTATTCAGTTTCTAAATGGAACTAATAGGTAATCTGGTTAATAACACTTGCATTTTGGAGAAAGTTCTAAACTAGAGATATATTTGGGGTATAGAGCATAAATTGATTTCGAGCAATAGATGCAATCACCTAGGAATTTAGTGTCGAGAGAAATGAGACACGGAAGGGCTGAGGCCTATTTCTCTCCTACTTTAAAAAATTTTTGAAAGAAGAAGAGTGTTCCAATTCAAGAAACTGGGAAAAGCAGCCAATGAAAGGGAAAAAAATGGAGTGTGTGCATTTGTTTCTTTATACATACACACATAGATTTCTTCCCACATAAGTTATGGGAACAAATGTGATGTGTGTATGTATAAAGAAAAATCAGTAGCCCCAAATTATTAACCATCATCATCTCCAAGGGGCAAAATTATCAGGGATGCTCAACTTTTGATGTTTCTGTAATATTTGAATATCATAAAATATACTTATATCGCTTTTATAAGCCAAAGTAGTAAAAAATGGTAAATAGTAAAAACTATGAAAGTTTAATAATCCTTTGAAAATAATATATAGGAGATATAGTATATATATATATATAAAATAACCTATTCTATCTTTGATTGGACAAGTCACATAAAGGTTGCAATCACCAAGAAATGAGAAAAATGCAGCCTTTCACATGACTTATGTAAATGTTTTTAGGTACTTGGTTCACCAAGATTTTGTGATGTTTGAGAAGTTTTTGTATGTATGTATATGTATACCTGTATTGTAATTATATATGTAGTCTGGTGTGGTGCTGTGGGTTAATGCACTGGACTGCAAAGTTAGATTGAATCACAAAGTCAGCAGTTCAGGCTCACCAATTGCTCCTTGGAAACCCTATACAGGGCCGCTATGGGTCAGAACTGACTCAGTGACTTAACAACAACAACAATACAAAAAAGAAAAAGAAACCAGAAATACATTTACAATATAAATATGGAAAAACATGCCAGTATTGCTAAAGTTTATCTAACCTTTTGATATTGTTCATTCTTATAGTCAACAAATGTTTTAGATGATCATTTTCATGCTATGAATATAATACTAGTTAGTGCATTTCAAAGAGACTCAAGGAAGCTGCTCAGAATTCAGAGTTTGTCAAGAAAACAACCAGCTAATACAATTCACAATGCAAAGTGAGACTCCTTCCCCCAAAACTAACAGTCAGAAGTCATGCAGCTAAATAAAAAGTCTATTAGATAGCCGTGTAACATTGGAAATTAGGGGAGTATCTGTTGAACTACCTAGGTAACCTGTCTTGTTGCTAAATGCCGTGGAGTCAGTTCCGACCATAGCAACCCTGTATAGGGTTTCTGAGGAGTGACTGGTGAGCTTGAATTGCCGATATTGCAGATAAAACTGGTTTTGCAGTTAAAACCGGTTTTGCAGTCTAGCACATTAACCCACAGCGCCACACCAGGCCCTCTAAAACGAGATGTCTGTTTCACTTATATGTCTTTAAAATGAGATGTCTGCTCTTCTTCAGTTACTCTGTAGGTGGCAAATTTTCATGCTTAGTTACAAGTACCACTTCTCCTGATTCCTTAGGTCTATTCTCAATCATTGCAGGATTTCAGATTAAGAGAGTATATTAGGTTACTTAGCATAATCTTTGTAAATGACAGTTCAGTGCCAAGACCGGTTTTTCATTGAATCAACAGTAGCAATAATACAATAAGCGTGTTTTAGTGCATTCAGATCCAAGCAGTGTCTGGCACCGTGATACCAATGCACCTTCCACTGCTACTTCTTTTGACAAAAGCACATTGGTGCAAAGAGATTTAATGAAGCAAAATATCTTTCTAGATCCCTGCTCCTGGGATTGAAGTTTTAATTATATGTATAATTCATTATCATATGGAAAGAATCGATCACTTCTCAGGGGAAAACTACCTAGATAAAATTTAGAGTTACTTTTACTCTCTCCTGTCAGAGTCGGGCCACAAGAAGTTAAAAAGCACCATACAGAGAAGCACAGAAACAGGAATGGCGGCTGAAATGAGGAAGATGGTTAGGCAACCAAGCCGAGAATCTACTGATGGCAGCATCAACAGTTACAGCTCTGAGGGAAAGTAAGTGGTCTCAACACATCTGTAGCACTTTAGAACCATGAATTGTTGAGCAATGGTAAAATAATGGTTAAATGGTTTTGCAGTCTAGCACATTAACCAAGTCACCAAGGATTATTGCATAGGTTGCTTTATTTTACTCCAGAAGTCCAACTATTTATTGTAAAGCAGCCTAACCTCTTATGGTAAGTACATCTCTTCATCAAAGAGATGAAGAAATTCCAGTTCATATGGATAACTTATTGCTGTCATATAGAAAGAAAACTCAAAATAGCCCTTTATTGGACATTTAATGTAGAAATGTCACATTTACTGAATTCTTTGATATAGGAAACTCATAGTCTGACCCAGTCACCAAAATCTGAATGAAAATTTAGAAGTAGGAACTGGCTTTCCATTTTCCCACCATTTCAAAACTATTTTGAGCTCAAAACTGTTGCAAGTCTAATACTTTCATAATAGCAAATTAAATGTTCTTCTTTTTAAAGCATTATGGACTCATCTTTACCTTGGGGAGGGGGGGAATAATCAAACTTCCTTATAGTTTTCTCTGATTAAACAGTTTTACTTAATTCTGAAAATATATAACTAGATTTTAGGTTTTGTTTACTTGGTTTGCTTCTTACTATTCCATATAGATCCAGCACAAAACTTGCATTTTCCTATGCTTGAATTATTTTCTGATGGATTTTCTAAATAAGTAATTATTATTCTGCAGTTGTGACATGAGTTTAACTATGCGTGTTTTATGTAATTACTCACTTATTACCATTCAGATAACTCAGATACAAATCTGATAACCCAAATTTCTTTTCCCATCTACGTTATTTCTTTCACTGACATTTTCCTTGCTTGTTTAGAAGATGAAATAAACTTGTGCCAAGTTCACATATGTGATGCTATTTCCCATTCCTGAAACTAATGGATCCTTATTTATGTAATCTAATGATTAGTATGTATTCTGCCAGCAATTAGAGCTAAGAGCAAAGATCATCAGGTGTGAAAGTTTTGGAGCTCTGCTTGCTGATAAAATACCAGTATTTGATGAAGTACTGTAAAGTCATATGCAAACAGAAAGCTAGAAGCATTTTCTGTTACAAAAAATAAATCAAATCAAAGTCCCCATGACCATAGGTAAACCACTTAACCTCTCATAGGTCTAGATGGTATAATAATTTATGTTCTATAGACAATAAATTATTATAGAAATCTTCTCATTAAAAAAAAATACATATTGAGTGCCAACTAAGTAACAAGCACAGTTTTTGCTACCCAGATTACATCGATAAACCAGAGGAGTTGAGTAAATGATCTATGGAGCTTGCATCCTAAGTACCTTTATTTCAGTCGGTCCTACTCTAGAAAAATAGATATAGCCTTTCTTTCTATGAGGACTAAGCAAAAGTTTTGAGTAATTCAAAAAGTCAAAGGAATAAATTAAACATTTTTATTTATAAATAAAAACCTGTACTTTGCTACAATATTGAATCAAAAGTTATTAGCTTCATTTTTAAAATGCTGGAATTACTATTAATGCTCATGATCAGTTATTTGTGAAATGTGTGGTCTAAAAAATTTCATAGTTTGCTTTGTATCAGTATTACATTTACATAGGGTTTACATTTATAAGTGTCTGTTAGAGTTAGTATATTAAAAACTGCAACTGACCCCTACTGAATATAGATAGCATCAGGCCTTCTGTTAAGATTTTCAATCTTTTTTCAATCAATGGTAAGCCTCATACATGAGGGTCAATAATAATATAAAGAATCATAACTTCATAGATTCTATAAGTGGTGCTTATATTTCATGATAAGTATTAGAAGACAAATAGAAACTTAGCAAAGGAATTGTAGGAGATCTAATATGTTTTTTGGTTTTGATGTTTCTTTGGTCCTTTTGCTAACAGCTTAATATTTCCTGGAGTGCGACTTGGAGCTGACAGTCAATTCAGTGATTTTCTTGATGGACTTGGACCAGCACAGCTTGTCGGCAGACAAACCCTAGCCACCCCCGCTATGGGTAAGGTTCTATTTTTTTTTTTTCCTACAGAAGAACTGATGGTTCACATTTGAAAAGGGCATTTAAAATACATTTTAGCTAGGGTTTTGCTGTATGTAAATGATTTATTCTAATTCCAAACATATCTTTCTAATATGGGACATTTTACAAAATGAAAATAAGTCATTCATAAATCTAGTAATTATAAGAAAATCCTTGAAGACATGAAATCAAAGTAGTCCCAAATTAAAGAGTAGCATTTCACAATGTATATGTTCTAACCTACCAGCTGCTCCTCAGAAACCCTATACAGGGTTGCTATGAGTTAGAACCAACTCGATGGCAACATTTTTTTTTTTTTTAATTCTTTATTGTGAATGATGTGATGGTTTACATGGGAGGACATCAGTTTCACATTGATCCCATCGTATATCATTTCCTGCCATGATTACAATTCTTTCCATGCATCATCCATCAACCAAAGTGTATACCCCTCAAGCCTGCCCCCCCCCGGTCATCTGCATACAGCCCCTCTCCCTCTCCAGGTCCAAAGTCCCTAGCTGCTCCATCTCCCGACACCATCATATCTGCCTCCATCCCTGGCATCACTGCTTCTCTGGGTAGGGTTCCGTTCTCTGCTCTTCTCCTTTGATGGTCCCAAGGTTATACACGCCCCTCTGTTTGCCCCAAAACATCTACCTTTACATTTCCAGCCCTCACAATCAGTCCTGATAATAATTATTCGCTATTGTATTGCAAGAGACCTATCCACATCTCCTTTCATCAGCCCTGACTTGGCAGAATGGATACTACTCAGTGGAGATTCTACCTTGCTCCACGCCCTCTGGATCTAGGTTCCCTCTTGAAAGCTTGTAAGCCAGTCACTTCTTGCCTCTGTAGCCCCCCCCACCCCTTCTACGGCAACATATTTTTAAAAATAAATTTGACCCCTAACAAAAATCAATTCTATTTTATTGTAAACATAAATGTGGAAGACAAATAAATTATCCTCAAGTTAATATAAGAGTGTGTCTTCTGAATCTCAGAGCAGGCAAAGATTCCTTAATAATACTCAAAAGGCATTGACTATAAAGAGAAAGACTGATACAGTTTACCACATTAAGACTTTTAGATCTACTCAGCATTTCTCAAGCTGAGGGAACTGAATAAAAAATTTAAACCTCGACTTGCGGTATTGAAGAATTCTATGGGCAAAATGCTGAATGATGAAGAAAACATCAAAAGAAGATGAAAGGAATACACAGTCACTATACCAAAAAGCAGTGGTAGGTGTTCATTCATTTCAAGAAGTAGCACATGATCAAGAGGCAATAATCCTGAAGGAAGAAGTCTAAGATGCTTTGAAGGAATTGGCAAAGAACAAAGCTCCAGGAATTGATGGACTACAAACTGCAATCTTTAAACAAAGTAAGGCAGCACTAGAGGCACTAACTCATCTATGCCAAGAAATTTGGAAGACATCTGACTGGAAGACATCTGCATTTGTGCCCATTCCAAAGAGAGGTGACTCAATGTAATGCGAAAGTCATCAGACAATATCTTTGATATCCCATGCCAGTAAAATTTTGCTAACGGTGATACAGAAATAGCTGTAACCATCCATTGACTGAGAACTTCCAGAGGTTCAAGCTAATTTCAGAAGAGGACATGGAACAAGGGATATCATTGCTGACATCAGATGGATCTTGGCTGAAAGTAGAGAATATCAGAAATATTGACTACACAGAAGCTTTCCATTGTATGGATCGTGACAAGCTATGCGAAGTATGAGTATTGCAGTACACTTAATTGTGCTCATGAAGAACCTGTTCATAGACCAAGAGGCAGTTTTTCAAACAGAACAAGAGAACACCGAATGTTCACTTTAAAATAAGAAAAGGTGTGCACCATGGTTGTATTCTTTCACCATACTTATTCAATCTGTATACTGAACAAATAATCAGAGAAGCTGGGTTATATGAAGAAGAATGTGACATCAGTATTGGAGGAAGGCTCATTAACAACCTGTGATATGCAGATGATACAGCCTTTCTTGCTGAAAGCCAAGAGGACTTAAAGTACTTATTGATGAAGATCAACAACCACAATCTTTGGTATGGATTGCACCTCAATGTAAAGAAAACAAAAATCCTCATCATGGGACCAATAAATAACATGCTTATACATGGAGAAAACATTGATGATGTCAATGACTTCATTCTTCTTGGATCATCCATCAACACTTATGGAAGCAGCAGTCAAGAAATCAAACGACATATTACATTGGGAAAATATGCACAAGATCTCTTTAAAGTGTTGAAGAGTAAAGATATCAGTTTGAGGACTAAGGTGCACTTGACACAAGCCATGGTATTTTCAGTAATCTCATGTGTATACAAAAGCTGGATAGTGAATAAAGAAGACTGTAGTAGAATTGATGTATTTGAGTTATGATGTTGCAGGAAAGTATTAAAAGTACTGTGGACTCTCAAAAGAACAAATAGATCTGTATTGGAAGAAACACAATCAGAGTGTTCCTTGGAAGCCAGGACTTCATCTTTCATACTTTGGATGTATTGTTAGGAGTGACCAGTCACTGGAGAAGGATACCATGTTTGGTGTAAAGTGGAGGGTTGGAGAAAAACAGGAAGACCCCTAACGAGTTGGAATGGCACAGTGGCAGCACCACCACTCGTCTGTCAGTTTGTCTTACTGTGGTGGCTTGTGTGTTGCTGTGATTCTAAAAGCTATGCCACTGATACTTTAAATACCAGCAGGATCACCCATGGTGGACAGGTTTCAGATGAGCTTCCAGACGAAGACAGACTAGGAAGAAGGAGTGACGAATTACTCCCAAATATTTAGTCACTGAAAACCTTATGAATAGCAGAGAAACACTGTCAGATATAGTGCTGGAAAATGAACCCCTCAGGTTGGAAGGCACTCAAAATGCGACTGGGGAAGAGCTGCCTCCTCAAAATAGAGTTAACTGTGATGATGCAAATGGTGTAAAGCCCACGGGACCTTCATTTGCTGATGGGGCACAACTCAAAATAAAGAGAAGCAGCTGTAAACATCCATTGAAAATCGGAACATGGAATGTACAAAGTATGAATCTGGGAAAATAGGAAGTTTTCAAAAATTAAATAGAATGCATAAACATTGATATCTTAGGCATTAGTCAGCTGAAATGGACTGGTATTGGCCATTTTGAATATATATATATATACACACACACATTTTATGTAGTTATTGTTAGGTGTGGTTCCAACTCATAGAGACCCTGTCTGAGGACTGGCTGGTGTGTTTGAACCACGGACCTTGTGGTTCAAACTCACTTTGTAGTCCTGTGCTTATCATACAGCACTACACCAAGACATATATATATACACATAAACACACACACACACACATATAAATATATTGGGCTCTGGTGGCATAGTGGCTATAAGTCATGCTGCTAATCTCAAGGTCAGCAGTTTGAAGCTACCATCTGTTCCATGGGAGAAAGATATTGCTTTTTATTCCCGTAAGGATTTCCAGCCTCGGAAACCATATGCATGATTGCTATGAGTTAGAACCAACTCTACAGCACAGCATCTCCATATATGTATACTACTACCATATATATGTACATATATATCTTGTTGTTAAGTGCTGTCAAGTTGGTTTCGACTCATAGTGATCCCATATATAGTTTCGGAGGAGTAGCTGGTGATTTTGAACTGCAGACCTTTGGGTCTAGTGCTTATCCTACAGCACCACACCAGGATTCCATATATATAAATATACACACACACAAATGGGAGCACAGTAGCTCTAGGGGATAAGCATTGGACTTTGAACCACGAGGTCAGCAAGTCTAGTCCATCAGCCAGTCTGCAGGAGAAAGATGAAGCTTTCTGCTCCTTCAAAGATTTACAGCTTCATAAACCCTATATAGAGTCACCGTGCATCAAAAGCAACTCAATCACACTTAAGATATGCTATATATATATGAAAGATCATATCTTGAAGTACATAATAATATTCTTGGAAATTAAAATTTTAAAAATAGGCATAAATTTGCACATAGTAAGAAAACTGTTGTTTGGAAAGCTGCCCCCAAACTATTCAGAACCATTAACGCAGTTAGGAAGACTAAGGACAGAGAGTGGGGAACATGCTGTAGAGAAGATATGTTCTTTTCCATTTATAGGATGATGATTGCATTTTTTAAAACATGACTATGTTTTATTTTTTTTTTAATATCGAAGCAAAAGAAGTTGTTTCTGAACCTAAAAACAAACAAACAAAAAAAAACTTTAGATCATTTCATCAAAAGAAACCACTGAAAGAGTGCAAATGCAAACTATGTATAAGATGAATATACAAAAATCTATGCATCAGCAGCAGATAGGTAGAAACGTAATTAAAAAGAAGACACAATTTATAGTCTTAACAGATAATATGAATTTTCTTGAAAAAAATCTTAACAAGGCAATGAGGACTCCCTCAACCACATGTTAGAATGTCTTATGAAGCCTTAGTAATTATACTGTGTGGTTTAATGCAAGAAGAAATACATTGGCCAGTGGACTCAACAGTTCACTCCCTAATATCTGTACTTTGTCAAATCTGAAAAGACAAATTGCTCAGTATAGAAACAGAAAAATAGGTTATACATTGAGTAATTTATAAAATTAGATCCCTACCCCACAGAATGCATAAATTCTACTCCAGAGGGATTAAGAATTTAAATATTGGAAACAAAACAATTTAATTCCTAATAGAAAATGTAGGTAAAATACTTTAGAACTTGAGTTAGAAGTTAATGCCTTAAGACACAAAGTGTGATGACCATAAAAGGAAAGATTCATCAATTTAAGAGATTAAAATTAAGAATTAAGTTTATGTTAAAGAAAGTGAAAAGATGAATTCTAAACCAATGAAAGATACTTGAAATGTGTGCAACTGACAAAGGATTGTTTCAATATTGTATAACATTCTTTGCAAAAAAGAATACTGGTTATCACTAAAAAGGAGTCCTGGTGTGGCACTGTAGACCAAGCATTGGCATGCCAACCACAAGGTCGGCTGTTCAAACCCACCAGTGGATCCTCGGAAATTGTTTATGGGGCCACTATGAGGAGGCACTGGCTCAATGGCACTTAACAACAACAGCAACATACTCACACACGCACACACAAAACTTGGTATTGAGAATAAATATGCCCAGATCGTTGTTTTTTTTTAAATGTTTTATTGTGAATTATGTGATAGTTTATAAGGGAGAACATTAGCTTTACATTCGTCCTATTGTATATCGTTTCATTGCCATGGTTACATCAACCAACCAAAGGGTATACCCGACAAGCCTGTCCACCGGTCGTCAGCGTACAGCCTCTCTCACTCTCTGGGTCTAGAGTCCCCAGCGGCTCCATCTCTCCACATCATCATCTCTGGCATCACTGTTTCTCTGGGTAGGGTCCCGTACTCCGCTCTTCTCCCTTGGTGGTCCCAGGGACCTCTGCTCCTGGACTGCAAAGTCAATAACTCCCCTCTTTTGCTACAAAACATCTACCTTTACATTTCCAACCCTCACAGTCAGTCCTGATAACAATTATTCACTATTGTATCACAAGAGACCTATCTTCAGCCCCGCCCGGACAGATTGGATACTACTCAGTGGAGAGTTTACCTTCCTTTGCGTCCTCTGGATCTAGGCTCCCTCTTGAAAGCTTATAAGCCAGTCACTTCCTGCCTTTGTAGCCCCACCATTTTGGGTAGCCAATGTCCAAGTTGCCCATCCTTGTCTACTCTGTGTATGGAGTGGGTGGGAATGATCCTCACTGTAAAGATTTGTTCCCTTTTTTGAGCTACTGCATCCATAGGTGTAGGTCAGGTTCATCAAATTGTATCAGATTACTCTTGTTTTCCTTTTCTTTTTTCTTCTAGTTGAGCTCTGATCATTCAGTCATTAAAGCAAGGTCAAGTGGGTATTATCTGCAAGTATGGTGTTCTTGTGCAGATGTCTTCTCTTCTTATCAGCTGGATGCTTCTCTCTCCACTCTAGTCCTCTGTGGCTATGTTACTGAATCTGGGCCCAAGAGTCCCCAGACCTTGCCACACTGCTGGCCATCCAGGTCTCCACCCGGGTTCATAGGAGTCTGTTGAACGTGGTAGGGCTTAGCTTGCTGCTTCATTGCTGCTTTTCCCTCACTTCCCCTTATCGGTGACGGATATGGTCACCAATTAGAGTGCCTATCTGCTCGTGTATTCCCATTGAGTTTTAGTCTGGGAAGGAAGTTTGCCCTGAGAGGACCCGACCACTTGCCTTAATGTCTCCTTGGCGAGCAACTTGCTTGTTCTTGTAGCAATCAGTCTCACTGCTATTATTGTTTTGTATTTTTCCTGTCAGTCTTTCTTTCAAGAAGAATCTTCTGTTCTTCTAGCCACTGCAGGCTGCTCTGCTTGTCCTTTCCAGTAGAAATTTCCCACCTCAGAAGATTTTGGATAGGGTTCAAGATTCCACCTATGGCCTTATGTAATGCAGAGTCTCCACAGGAAACCTCCTTCACTGGGCACTTTGCAGCCCATGACTGTATTCCAATCAGTTCTAGGCAGAAGGTGGACTTACAAGCTTTCTATGGTGATATATCTGGCTATTCCTTTCTCTCCCCCTCAAATGTCTATTTTATAATGGTATGCCAGGGAAACCAAGATTCAAAAGACAGCCAAGTATCTTAACATTATTTCCCCCCTTTTGCCCATTCCAACCATGTCTCAATCCCTGTAACCCAGAGCCCCGTTGTTCCAAGGTTGTGCATACATCCTTATTTACCTCTGTTCCACTCAGCCCATGCAAACCTGACTAATTGTTTTCCCATCCACCTTGTTCTTCCATTCCCCTCCCTCTTCTTGTGTATTGCCCCCCTCCCTAGCACCCAAACTATCTTGTGTCTATTCCCTACCCTGTGCTCCACCTTACCCTCCCTCCCCTCACAACCCTACCCTCCACATCCCGGTAACCAGCAAAGAAGCCCCCACTCCCTTTTAGTATGGGTTCCTTTTCTTAGTCTTTTATAGTAGTGGTCCTATGCAGTATTTCTCCTTTTGTGACTGACTAATTTCACTCAGCATAATGTCCTCAAGGTTCATCCATGTTATGCGGTGACTGGCAGCTTCTTTGTTATTCTTCAAGGTAGCTAGTATTCTATTGTGTGTAGGTACCACAGTTTGTTTATTCGTTCTTCAGTTGATGGGCACTTAGGCTGTCTCCATCTTTTTGCTATTGTAAACATTGCTGCTATGAACATTGGTGTGCATCTATCTACTCGTGGCTCGTATTTCTTGTGGCCAGATGGTTTTATAGGTAAGTTCTAATATGAACAGAAGAGACATGAAAATTTGAAACCAAACATTTCTGAGAAATAAAAAAGAGAGCTCTCTCCAGCTTATCTTTGTTGCTAATATAATTTTTTTGTCAAACTCTAGAAGGACTACATTGCTTTGTTATATACAAGTTTAATTATGATTATAAGTATTTAACAAGTACAATAATAATAATAAATACATTAATGTTTTAATAAAATCTGGTTTAACTTGGGCTCATCCCATGAATGCAAGATTAGTTCTGCTTTAGATCATCTATTAATCTAAGAATAAACACTGGACTGTTCAACTCCATCAGCCACTATTGGAAACCATAAAGAGATTCAGTAAGAGTCGGAACTGGCTCAGCAGCACACAGCAATAGCAGTTCCACCACATTATGCAGAATATGTATTTGATAAATATCTTTTTCCATTCAGGACCAAAACCAAAGTCTTAACAATAACAGTTCCCCCACATTAATACCTCAGATGCAGAAAATGCGTTGATAAAGATCTGTTTCCATTCATGACCAAAAATAAGTCTTAACAAGATATTGAAGTCTTAATATATGAAAATCTAATTCCCAAATCTAGTAAGATGGGTTGTTGTTGTTGTTAAGTGCTGTTGAGTTGGTTCCAACTCATAGTAACACTGAATAGGGTTTCCAAACAGCATCTGGTGTGTTTGAACCACCAACCTTGCAGTCAGCAGTCTAGTGCTTATCCTACAGAGCCACATCAGTAAGAAAAAGACTAACATACTAATTACAATGAATAAAATACAAGAACAGACAAATCATAAGAGAAAGAGTACAAATTGAAAATATTTGGAAATATTTTTAGTCTCTAATAATTAAAAATTCAAATAAGATAACAATATAACTATTTAACCACCAGACAGACACAAAGTAGGCATATTTCTAATATCAGTATTAGTGAGTTGTGGAAAATGGACAGACTTAGTTATTTCTGATGATAATGCAAACCAGCAGTTTTTCTGAAGGACAGTTTGGAAATATATATGAAACTTTAAAATGATCATTAAATCCAATAATTAAAGTCTTGGATTTATGTTCAATAAATAATCATATCTATATATATGTTGTTGTTGTTGTTATATATATATATATATATATATATATATATTTAATTTGTTGTTGTTGTTGTAAAGTGCCGTTGAGTCGGTTCCGACCTAAAGTGACCCTATATAGAGTTTCCAAGGAGCAGCCGGTGAGCTTGAACCACGGACCTTGCAGTTCAAACGGCTTTGCATTCTGGTGCATTAACCCACAGTGCCTCACCGGGACTCCATATATACATATATAACTGATGCCATTGAGTCCATTTCAATTCTTAGGGACCCTAAGTAGTGTTTCTGAGCCTGTAAATTTTTAGCAGAGCAGAAAACCTCGTCTTTCTAATCAAGTATGAAAGCTTAATAAAGCTGTCATCATAGTGTTGTTTGTAATTTAAATAATATATTTATATATGGTAAACAGGGTATTGGTTAATAAGTCCATTCATGATCTATAAAATGATGATGTATAGTCATAGATAAATGGATGAGTGGATGGACAAAGAATTTAAAAACAAACTTTTATGAGACTGCTAGACTAAACGATCAAAATTATGAAAACATTAATGGTAGTTAGCTGTAGTTAATGGAATTAAATAATTTACCTACTAGCCTAAAGGTTGGTGGTCCAAACATACCCAGAGGCATCATGGAAGACAGCCCTGGGGATATGCTTCTGAATGTTCATTAAAAGCCATATGGATAAATTCTACTCTCTACACACAGGGCATCCAGAACTTGCAATCAACTCAATGGCATCTAATAATAACAATATAATATACAGTGATACAGTAAAGTGCTTCTCAAATCTAATTCCCATGTCTCATGAGATGGGTTGTTGTTGTTGCTAAGTGCCATTGAGTCAATTCCTACTCATAGCAACCCTTTGTAGGGTTTCCAAGGAGCATTTAGTAAGTTTGAACCAACCATTTGGTTAGCTGTCCAGTGCTTATCCTACAGATAATCCTACACACCAGAAAAATGAGGATAAACATTTCAAAACCTGATTTGGAGATGAACAAAAAAAATGGGGTGGTGCTCTAAGGATGGTTGTTGGGGTTTTCTTTGGTTTTTTATCAAGATCATGAAGACCATAATTTAGAGTCTTTTATGAGCCTCTGTTTTTGTTTTTGTTTTTAACAGCATATAACAGCAAAGAAGCTGAAATTGTTTTGCTTCTCTTCCACTTGCAGGTGATATACAAATTGGAATGGAGGATAAAAAGGGCCAATTAGAAGTTGAAGTTATTAGAGCTCGAAGCCTTACGCAAAAACCTGGTTCCAAATCTACACCTGGTAAGGAGAAGTGTTACTGAGTTTGGTCAAGGCAAAAGCTCAAAATATTGCTGCATTTGAATTTAATATCCTCTATTTTGCATAATTTGATTGATTGTACTGACAGCTTTTCTGTGTTGTTTTTCATCAAAGTGGATCTTAGTTTTTCTTTTTGAAGATATTAGTAGGAGCCTCGTCATACGAAGGAAAGTTTAGTTATAATTCTTTCTTAGCTTCTATCAGTATTTTATGTCTGCACATTTATAAATGTAAAAGAAAAAAATAATTCAGTTATAATCATAAAAAGGAAAGAACAAGCCTTACATTATAAACTTGAATTGTATTGCCAACTGTGACTCAAGTCAGCCATAGTCCTGTGATATCTCTGTACACATTTACTTGAAAATCACCCTAGCGGTAGCATATGGGTTTTAAAAAACAGAATGTACTTAGATTGATTTTAATAGTCAAAAGGAACACTTTCATTAAACACTTCTAATTCTCTAGTAAGGCATTCTCTAATAAAGATGAATTTAAATTAAGGATTAACTTCTCATATGTTAATATACCTTTGTTCAGCTCCATACGTCAAAGTGTATCTTTTGGAAAACGGAGCCTGTATAGCCAAGAAGAAGACAAGAATTGCACGAAAAACCCTAGACCCTTTGTATCAACAGTCCCTGGTTTTTGATGAAAGTCCACAGGGTAAAGTTCTTCAGGTCAGTAAAAGCTTTTTGTTTTTACATTGTAATCCACAGTATTCAAATATCAAGAGAATGATGTTCAGTCAGATTGTTGTTGTTGTTAAAGTGCCGTTGAGTCGGTTCCGACCCATAGCGACCCTGTACAGGGTTTCCGAGGGTGTAAATCTTTACGGGAGTAGAAAGCCTCATCTTTCTCCCGCGG